CACCAACCATATCCATATCACCATTGCAGAACATCAGGGCTAATGAAATCTTAGATTTCATTATATTGCAAAAGAAAATTGCAGAACATCAGGGCTAATGAAATCTTAGATTTCATTATATCGCAAAAGGCAAAACTAACAGGTCATGTAAAAAATGTCTTTAAAATTCTAGATAAAAATTATTTCATACAGAAAGGGGACTCCAAATAGCCTAAATATTCTTGAAAAATAAGAACAAAGTTTGAGGACTCACATTTCTTGATTTTAATACTACTACAAGGATATATAATCAAAAAATCATGGTGCTGTTAAGGATGGATGTATAGACCTATGGGATAGAATTGATAGCCCCTAAATAAACCCTTACATGTATGGCCAATTGATTTTAATCAAGGAGACCAAGACCATTCCATGGGGAAAGAACAATCTCTTCAACAAATGGTGCTGGGAAAACTACATATCCACATGCAACAAAATGAAATTGGACACTTACCTTACACCATATACAAACTTAACTCAAAATGAATTAAAGACCTAAATTTAAGAGCTAAAACTAAAAAATTCTCAGAAGAAAACATAGGGGCAAATCTTTATCACCTTGGATTTGTCAACGATTTCTTAAATATGATACCAAAAGTACATGCAACAAAAGAAAAAACCACATTAATTGGACTTTATTAAAATTAAAAGTATTTGTTCCTCAAAGGACACTATCAAAATTAAAGAAAAAAAAATCCACAGAATGGAAGAAAATATTTGCAAATCTTCTATCTGATAATATCCACAATATATAAATAACTCTTACAATTCAACAACAAAAGCCCAATTTTTAAAATAGGCAAAGGACTTGAACAGACATTTCTTCAAAGAAGATATAAAAATAGCCATATAAGCACATGAAAATACACTCAATATCACTAATCATTAGGGAAATGTAAATCAAAACTATATTAGTGATACACTCAATATCACTAATCATTAGGGAAATGTAAATCAAAACTTACTAGGATATCTATAATAAAACACACACACACACACACACACACGGATACCACACTTCACACTTACTAGGATATCTATAACACACACACACACACACACACACACACACACACAGAGAAAATATGGGTGAAGATGTGGACAAACTGGAATCCCTGTACATTGCCAGTGAGAATGTAAAATGGTTTAGCCACTGTGAGAAGTTTGGTAGTTCCTCCAAAAGTTAAACAATTACCACATGACCCAGAAATTCCACTCCTGGGTATATACCCAAGAGAAATGAAAAAAGGAACTCAAACAGATACTTGTATGTCAATATTCACATTAACCGAAAGGTGGAAACAACCCAACTGTCTATCAATAGATGAATGAATAAACAAAATGTGGTACATACATAAATGGAATATTATTCAGCCATAAAAAGGAATGAAGTTCTGATACTTGCTGCAAAATAGATAAACCTTTAAAAACATTATGCTAAGTGAAATAAGCCAAACGTAAAGGACAAAATATATGATTCCACTTATACAAAATCTCTAAAATAGGCAAATTTATAGAGAAAGTAGATTAGAGTTTACCAGGACCTGGAGGAAGGAGAATTGGGATGTTATTGCTTAAGGGGGGACAAGTTTTAGTGTGAGATGATGAAAAAGATTTGGAAATAGCAAAAATGGGTGCACAACATTATAAACGTAATTAATGCCACTAAGCAGAGGTTCCTAACCCCCAGGCTGTGGAACAGGGTCGCACAGTAGGAAGTGAGCAGGCCAGCGAGCAAAGCTTCATCTGTGTTCGCAGCTGCTTCCCAGGACTAGCATCACCACCTCAGCTCCACCTTAAATCCTCAGGCATTAGATTCTCATAGGAGCACCAGTCACTGGTGCCAAAAGGGTTGAGGACCGCTACGCTAAATGATACACTTTAAATGTTTAAAATGGCAAATTAGTCGCTGGTGCCAAAAGGGTTGAGGACCGCTACACTAAATGATACACTTTAAATGTTTAAAATGGCAAATTTTATATTTTATGTATATATTTTATGACAAAAACAACAAACAACAAAGGAAAACTGGGGCCCAGGAAACAGGTGATCAAACACCAGGAAACAAAAAGAATTCACAGGATGATAATGAAGAGAAGTTCCAGGACAAGAGAGACAGTAGTCTAGAAAGAAAAGGAAGCACTCCAGAAGTTGCAGGGTCAGAAAGAAAATGGACCAGATAAATTATCTCATATGAGACCTACGGAATTGACGCCAGCTTGAGAATCAGCCTGCAACTTAGGCGTATCATGTTAGTATTTCTTGCATAGCGTTTCTTACCCACATCGACCTCAAACAAATTATTTCATAAAATATTATATTGACTCATTTCCTTGTCCAGCACTACTTCAAAAATCACAAAAGAAGCACAGTTCTCATGTACATGCAATTGATACAATTATTAATACAATCCTGGTAGGCAGCAATCATGAGATACCTACAAAGAAGAAAAATAATCAAAACACCTAGGCTTCGTTAACAGGGTGAGTCCTTTGTTTTTAGTGTCATTCATTCAAAAGGAAAGATGAAAAAGTCCTATTTAGAAAGCAATTTGAAATACTATACCTATTACCTAAAGAAAATCAGAAACATTTCCAAAGTACATTTACAGTATTTCTTACTTTATATCATATTGTGAAAAACACTCTAATAATTAAAAGCATCATCTGAAATAGGCAGAATTGCTTCCATTTTTTATACTATAAACAGTTGTTGTCAAGTAATATAATGCTATAAAAGTTCAAAAGAGACTATAAAACTTACCTGTTTAGACATATTTTCTGAAAATTTTGCTGATTTTTCTTTTAAAAATGTGAAAAGGTCTTTATAAATTGCACCTTTTCGGTCATAATTAATTTCCTCCTCATCATCTGTCTTGCCCTTTGGGAGAAAAAGTTTGGTGCTTTTATTTATGTAATAACAATATGAGAATCTGACCAATACATCACAACCCAAGCACACATCTCGTTTTCTTCTCTAAAGGACCACAGGTAGACATTACACATGAAATGTACAGGCGAACCCCTTCCCTCCTACCTTAATGGTACTATTCAATCACTTGTTCACTCAGCAAGTCCTTACTGCATACCTCCCATACACATCTAGGGCACTTTGCTACTGAGCAGAGAAGTCAGAGCTTCCTGCCCACTGTAATCTAATATGAAAATACATTATGACTTCAAGAGCCTTTGACGAAGTCATAAATGGCCTTGAGATTAGAATGGCACCACAGAAAAGCCTGTTTCTAGTTATCGCACTGCTCTTGTTCTGTGTGTAGTATGGCTGCTATAGGCTTATTTTCTAGAGTTTTGATCTATCTGCAACCACCATCTGTCCCTCTGCCTCTGTCTCTTCTTGGAACGTCACTTATATATATACATACCTGTATATATATAAAAACATATATGTATATATAACTGTAGTGTTATACATTTTGTTGTAGTTACTGAATAGTTTCGTGTTCCCTGCCTTTCATTTTTAAGCTGAGAGGAATACTTATATGTTTCCAAATCAAATAAAGTTGTCTGTAGATCAATAGCCTTTTACAGAAGCAAAGGTTCCTTGTCCCACTCTAGAAGGTAAAAGGAAATCATTCTTTTTTTTAAATTTCTCATTTCCTCATTTGAGATTTCACTTTTCTAAAGTATCAAAACAAACCAAAAGCGACATCATATTTAGGTCGTCTCCTTCGTTTACGAAGAAATAAGTGTCATGCTGATAAGAAAAGCACCTAAGACACGTAAGAGGTGTCCACAAGTAATCGAGAAGACAGCACCAGCATTTTGATACGAACCCAAGCTGAAGTGTGACAGCTCTCCAAGCAGTCCCCTGTGATAGCTGAGACCCCATTTAGGATTTGGGTCCCCCGGTAGAATTCTGGTGAGTCCCAAAATTACACGGAAGATATCGAGGGCAGGGTGTTGCAGAGGAGAAAGCTGAGCTCCTTCTAGCTAAATTCAGTGAACAGGTATGAGACTGGAAACAAAGGTTTTTAATCCAGAAGATTCAGGAGGCTCTATGTTGTTTCTCTCACGTCTCGAAGCCCGCCCATCCCCACTCTGCTTTGTGATACTTGGGCTGGGAATCTGCAAAACTGTGCTGCTCCTTTGCCAGGCTCCCTTCAGTCAGCCAAAGTGAAAGGGAGCCTGGAAGAAGGAGAAGGGACATGCTCCCTCCTACTTGTCCCTGTTCCTGTTAGTCACCCCAGCAACAGCCCCCCTCGCCCCAGCAGTGGCAGTTGCTTCCAGTAGCAACAGTTGGTTCTAATTTCCAGAGTTTTTTTTCCCCTATAGTCCTAGCACAAGGCTCATCACAACCCTTCAGAAATACCATCATCAGCCGACTGGGGCACCATCTTCAAAGATATGGGTCTCAGCTCTGCCAAGATCCTTCTCTGAGCTCCTAAGAGGGCAGCACTCCTTATTCAGAGGTCTGGGTC